TAAATCATTCAATTGAATCCTTGACTTCTGCTGTCTTCTTTTGTTTCAAAAACACAGATTTCTTTAAAATTTAAAACAGCATCTTTGGATATCTTTTCAGCTGGAGATACTGTTGTCCTGAAAAACTTCAAACAAAATGTAAAAAAAAAAAACTTACATATACAGATAAACGGTACAGCAGAAGATATTGGCGGTTTTAAAACCTTGACTTTTTTCAAACTGCGTTATACCTTGAAAACAGTTATTGTCCTACACCTCAGCAGCACAACACTGTTTTTAGGATCTAAAAATGTATTCTTTAAAAAAAAAAGTCTCAAGCAAAAAGATTCCAATTTCAATGTCTGCTGGTACTTGAAGAATATGGTCAATATTCTGATGAACTTTACACTCAATTGTTTGCATATCATCAGCATGCTGTAATCCATTTCTTAAGCAACAAAAGTCATTTTAGACTAGTTTTTTGGCCAGTTGTAGTCAGTACAATGCTAAACGTTATTGTTCCACTATAATTTTATTGTTTTGTCTCACGTCGTCCCGCAACAACAACATATAGTTTAGAATACAATATTTTATAATAATTAATTAATTCAGTGTCCATTTCATTCAGCATATTTCAAATTAGGGGCATCCACATTTTCTGACATACTTTAAATCAGGGTTTCTACAGGTGTCACCAAGTTAAATTTAAGACTTAAGACATTTTTTAAGACCATTATGAATGAAATTTTAGATTAAGGAATTTTTCAAATGCCCCAGATGAAAAAGATTTTTATTTGTCCTATCAAAAAATATTATATAAAATATTTAACAACACAATAATAAATCAATAATAATAATAACAATAAAATATTTTACATATTTCTTAGCAAAAGATCTTAAATATTGTGTAAAAACAAGAGAGCTCTACTTGGATCCACACTTTTTTTTCCAAAATAAACTTTCTTTAAAATAAAAAACAAATTCACAAATGTTTTACTAACTATTATAACTATACTAAACTATATTATAACTATATAAACTATAATAAACTAAATCTATGCACAACAATCTGTCCAGGTCGATGTCCTCAGCAGAAAAAAACATAGAGCATGTTTAAACAAATGAAGCACGAAAATAATTAAAGCATTATGAGAAATAGAGTTAAAATGACCTTTTTGAATGAAAGGTTAAAGGTTTTATTGAGATGGATTGTTGGTGATTGTATGGGTTTCGGCCAGATTAGGTAGCAAAACATGAAAAAAGGAAAATGAAGACTTGTTTTAAAAAGATTTAAGACCTACAACACAATCTTTCAGTAAATGTAAGACTTTTTAAGGCCTAAACTTTTAGGTTTTTGAATTTAAGACATTTTAAGACCCTGCGGCTATTAAATAGGGAATAGCCCTGATAATTAGTTATTATAATAATGATGATGTAATTGTAGATACTGTCTGTGAGAACTAGTAACAACTACTACAAACAAGTTTAAACCCATAAAGAAGTTGATGAAAAAAGGGAATTGTGATCAACGTGACATATGCAAATGGAAAGTACTAAGCCAACACCATCACTGTAATAGCAGATGATCTCTTCTATGGGAATACTGTAGGTCAAATATTGTCAGCTCAGTTAAACTTTTTTAATTTATTGTTTTTATTTGTTTTATATAGTGCCAGTGCTCAAGGCACTTTACAAACAGTAGGAGAACAAGAAAAGCAATAACCTTAAGAAGGTAGAGAAAATGGGAGACTAATAATACATAAAATAATGACAAAAGACACGAGAACAAGTAACAAATGAAACTCATTCCTTTTTTTCAATAAGCGCTTATGTGAATTTAGGAGAACTAGGCAGCACACTCAGGGCTGCAAGATGGATTTAATTTAGTATTATTATTAAAATATATCTGAATGAGGATCAAATGACTGAGTTGGTGTTTGAGAATGAAAACCAACCTGTTTGTTCCTGTAGATCTTCCTGTTTGACTGTGAATGTTTCTTCAATCTTCACATCTTCACTCCCCTCTTTAATAATCGCCATCTTTATAACTGTGTGGAGATCAGTCGCTTCAGCAGGAGTTTTTCTCTGTGTTTAGACACTTTATCCTGTTTAAAATGAACAACACAATAAAAAAATGTCCTGTTTAAAAAAAAAATAAAACAATGAACAGACACAAAATAACTTCTCTTCAACACTTGCTTCAACAGTTTCCTTATATGAGAGTCATTAACAAACAGAAATCAGGTAAGTCTGAGCAAGAAACAATAGACACAAATGAGCCGATTAAGACTAGTACTCCATTTCTTATATATAGTGATGTATACTTCGAATAGGAACCTTTAGTAATAGCTGCCTGACCATTAACTGAATAGGACCATTTTACATATAAGAAACCCGTTAACATGTATAGCTGTTCATGCCAATACCAACTTGATAGACTATTACATGAACATATTACATGAACAGGACCTGCCTAACATCTCTTAAGACAAATAAGCATAGTGTCTATAACAATACATGCTTGATTCTTCAGATGACTACATCTGAATCGTGCCTTTTTTAATACCAGTTTACCTCAAATAATTACACATGTAAGTGCAGTGGGTAGCTCAATCGCCTCACAGCAAGAAGGTCGCATGTTCAAGCCTCAGCTGGGTCAGTTGGCATTTCTGTGTGGAGTTTGCATGTTCTTCCCGCGTTCGTGTCAGTTTCCTTCGGATGCTCTGGTTTCCCCAAAGTCCATAGACATGCGGTATGCATGCAGTGTGAATGAGTGTGTATGCATGTTTCCCAGTAATGGGTAGCAGCTTGAAGAGCATTCGCTGTGTCAAGCATGTGCTGCATAAGTTGGCGGTCCATTCCACAATGGTGACCCCTGATTGATAAAAATAATAAAAATAAATGAATACATGAGTAATATCACACGAGTAGCAGTGCGATGTAGCCTTCTATCCGTTTTTGTATATCTATTTGTTGTAATGGCCAGTTGTTACTGCAATAAAAAATGAATAAATACATTTTTAAAAAGCAGTGCAATGTGGCTGTAGGCTGTATGTCAGCACTGATGGGAGGCATGTGTTACAGTGTACACTAAGCACTCAAGAACGATTGTCCCTCTACCTGTTGTTTAATCTCCTGAGAACTTTGCTCATCTTCAGAACTCAAATGAAGACTATTTAGATGAAGTCAGAGAGCTCCTTCATCTGTCATAGACAGCAAAAGTCCCGAGATGCTCAAAGTCCAGAAAAGGAACCAAAAACATTTTTAAAACATGTGACATATGACTTTAGTGGTTCAATTGTAATCGAATTTCAAGAACATTTTGTGTGCAAGAAAATGTTGAAAAAAGCAGCCAGGTCCAAAATGAGAACAGCTAAACCATGTCTGTTTTTGCCTCCGTATTCTCTTCATTTGCATTCAGCAGACGAAACTCAAACAGGTTTGGCTCAAGTAGAGGATGAGTAAATGACAAAATTGTGATTTTTATGTGAACTGCCCCTTTAATGCTTCTGTAAGTAAAGGTAAATTAAATATTATTACTGAATATATTGCTAAAGAATGGCAGGAAACGTGGAACACAGATAACAAGAGATGACAATTCATGTGGAAAAAAGGAAATTCTATATAGGCCTATGAAGTTGTAGAAATAGAAAAGAAGAGGTTATAATTATAAGGATGAGATTTGGACTCAGATATTATTTATTCATTTTTTTGTCAGCTTAGTTCCTTTATTAATCTGGGGTCGCCACAGCGGAATGAACCGCCAACTTATCCAGCAAGTTTTTACACAGCGGATGCCCTTCCAGCCGTAACCCACCTCTGGGAAAACTCAGATATTAATAGGAAGTAATGTGTTGCAGACATACAAGTCATCATAAGTGGATTAAAAAAGTTAAGAAAATGTTTAGATTTAAGGTTTGTGTGAGAGAAAGCAGATATAGTGTAAAGTGAAAAACATGGGAGAAATGTATCAATAAGTCATGACTGCAAAAGTAAGTGGCAAGAAAGCTAAACAAGAAAAGACTTTTATTTTGGCATGTGACGTCATCAGGCGGCGCCGCTTCAGCGCTGTGATTCAACTGGAGAAAGGTTTGTTGTAAAATGTTTACACAGATATAAACCCATTTAAAGTTAAAGTTCGAAGGTTTTAGTTTTTTATACGATGCTAAATTATGTTCCTACTGTTGGAAATATTTTAATCCTTTATTCAACGTAGTACTATTTATTCTATAGAGGTAAAGTTGGTTTTATATTCGCACATTCAGACTTTCTCCTTAATAATATAATTTCATAAAAGTATTATTTGCAAACTCTAAACAGTGAAATCATATTAGCAGCCAATGACTATCAAAGTACAACATTGTTCAGAGTCAAATAAACAATGTTAATGCTGTTATCAAGTCATGCTTGCATACTAATTCCGATCGAATATTCAAAGTAACATGGTAAACAATATATAGACTGCTAAATGAACGAATGTGTGAATATAAAACCAACTTTACCTCTATTTTTATTCTTAGTAACCGAGGGCTATTGTTTGAATAAAGTAACAGAAAAGTGTGTAATAAGTGTTTTAAAGAAAAGTTTTGTTAATTACTCTCATATAAAGAAATTGTTGCAGCAAGTGTTGAAGAGAAGTTATTTTGTTTCTGTTCATTGTTTTATCTATTTTAAACAATAAAGGTAAAGTTGGTTTTATATTCACACATTCGTTCATTTAGCAGTGTATATATTGTTTAACATGTTACTTTAAATATTCGAGTGGAATTAGCATGCAAGTATGACTTGAAAACAACATTAGCACTGTTTATTTGACTGTGAACAATGTTGTACTTTGATAGTCATTAGCTGCTTATATGATTTCACTATTTAGATTTTGCAAATAATACTTTTATGAAATTATATTATTAAGAGGAAAGTCTGAATGTGTAATTATAAAACCAACTTTACCTCTATTTTTAAACAGGACATTTTTATTGTTTTATTCGTTTTAAACAGAATAAAGTGTCCAAACACAGAGGAAAACTCCTGCTGAAGTGAATGATCTCCACACTGTTGTAAAGATGGCGTTTATTAAAGAGGAGAGTGAAGATGTGAAGATCGAAGAGACATTCTCTGTCAAACATGAAGATCTGCAGGAACAAACAGGTTAGTTTTCATTCTCAAAGTCCAACTCAGTCATATAGAGGTAAATTTGGTTTTACACATTCGTTCATTTAGAAGTCTCTATATTATTTACCATGTTACTTTGAATATTTGATCGGAAATAGCATGCAAGTATGACTTGAAATCACAGCATTTGACTGTGAACAATGTTGTACTTAGATAGCCATTGACGGCTAATTTGATTTCGCTATTTATAGTTTGCAAAAATAATTTTATGAAATTAGATTATTAAGGGGAAAGTTTGAATGTGCGAATATAAAACCTACTTTACCTCTATAATTAAATCCATCTTGCAGCCTCGAGTTTTCTGCCTGGTGGTCCTAAATGCACATTTAACTGAGATGAGGGCGAGGCAGTGGTGCAGTAGGTAGTGCTGTCGCCTCACAGCAAGAAGGTCGCTGGTTCAAACCTCAGCTCAGCTGGCGTTTCTGTGTGGAGTTTGCATGTTCTCCCTGCCTTCATGTGGGTTTCCTCCGGGTGCTCCGGTTTCCCCACAGTTCAAAGACATGCGGTACAGGTGAATTGGGTAGGCTAAGGGCCTACTCACATTATGCTATCCGTACCGGGTGCTCCGGTTTCCCCTGCAGTCCAAATACATGTGGTAAAGGTGTATTGGGTAGGCTAAATTGTCCGTAGTGTATGTGTGTGTGGATGTTTCCTAGAGATAGGTTGCGGCTGGAAGGGCATCTGGAATAATAAAGGGACTGAGCTGACAAGAAAATGAATGAATGAATGAATGAATAACTGAGCTGTCGATATTTGACCTACAGTATTCTCATAGAAGATATCTGCTATTACAGTGATAGTGTTGGTTTAGTACTTTCCATTTGCATGTCACATTGATCACAATTCCCTTTTTTCATCAACTTCTTTATGGGTTTAAACTGTTAGAACTACATCATTATTACAATACCTAATTACCAGGGCTATTATGTTTAAACAGGATTTCTGTGGGGTCTTAAAATGTCTTAAATTCCAAAATAAAAAATTTAGGCCTTAAAAAGTCTTACATTTACTAAAGTATTGTGTTGTAGGTCTTTATTTTTATTTATTTTAACAAGTCTACATTTTCCTCTATTCATGTTTTGCTACTCAGCCTGTCCAAAACATATACAATCACCAACAATCCATCTCAATAAAACTTTTTAGTCAAAAAAGTCATTTTAACTCTATTTATCATAATAGTTTAATTAATTTCCTCACAATAACTTTTTGTTTAAACAAGCTCCATGTATTTACTGCTGAGGATATCGACTTGCATAGATTTATTTTATTATAGTTTTTAAAACTTTTCAAAATATTTGTTAATTTTTTTACAATTTTTTAAAGGTTATTTTAAAAACAATTACAAAACAATACAACTAGAGCTTTTGTTAAGAAATATCTAAAATATTGTATTTTATTTTTCATTATTCATTTATTATTGCATTATTAAATAAAAATATATTTTTTTATAGGGCAAATTAAAATCTTTTCCATTTGGGCCATTTGAAAAATTTCTTTATGTCAGAAAGCTTGGATGCCCCCAAATAATAAATATGCTGAATGAAATGGACACTAAAATAATTAACTGTTATAAAACATTGTACAGTATTCTAAACTATATGATGTTGTTGAGGGACGACATGAAGCAAAGCTAACAATTTATAGTGGAACAATAACGTTTAGCATTGCACTGACTACAACTGGCCAACAAACTAGTCTAAAATGACTTTTGCTGTTTAAAAAAAGGATTACAGCATGCTGATGATATGCAGAGATTTGAGTGTAAAGATTGTCAGTATTGACCATATTCTTCACGTACCAGCAGGTGCCGCCATTAGACGGCATTAGGCATGGGACAATGACAGTTTTCAAGGTATACCGTGGTTTAAAAAAAGTTTTAAAAACAATATTTTTGCTGTACCATCCCTACGTTTTTTACATTTTGTTTGAAGATTTTCAGGACAACAGAAAATATATCCAAAGATGTTGTTTTAAATAGTAAAAAAAAAATCATTTGAATTATTTAGCCTGACATGTTTACAGCTCCAAAATACTTTCAAAGTTTCTCAAGTGAAAATATGTTGTGTTCAAAGGGGAAAAAAAAGTTTAGGTTTTTTAACCAGACATTTAAAAATAATATATTTATAAATGGTAATCACAGTACTGAGAAATCATGATATTTTTAGTCAAGGTTATCATACCGTCAGAATCTTATACTGGTCTGTGACGGACTGAGCCAGCACATATAGTAAGGGGCATACAAAAAGTAGATTTCCAAAATAATTATTTTAAATAAAGTCAAAAAACTTCTCAAAAACTCAAAAAATAAATAAATGAAACAATTAAATCAATTGAAAAATCAATAAACTAAACAAAGAAAACAAAACTGAGTTCAAACCAAACTTATCATGAATAAACCAAAAACAGAACTCTTTGAAATGACAAGACTGACCACATTTATACCAGAGGGACTAGTCCACAGTAAACAAGAAGGGGGAGACAAAAACAGACAATTTACAACAACAATAAACTAAGTCAAATATCTAAATACAAATCTAAATATTAGTTAAATAAATTCTAAATGAAAAACTAAATATAAATCTGAACAAACACTGCAAATCATTAATGAACTTAAACTAAAGATCAGCTCTCCCTCCAAGCCCTTAAGCCAATGGTATCGGCTAGCGGAACCAATAGGTGCCACTTGGCGGCACGTCGGCCCTTTAGTTTGTCGGACCACACCCAGAAACTCCGTTCCTCATCGGCACTGCAGCATGGTAACTTAAACTCAAAACAAAACTAAATAAAAAAAACATACACCACACTGGCCATCACATGGTCCATGTTTAATGCTGCTTGATGTTGCAAAGTCATTCATTCATTTTCTTTTCGGCTAAGTCCCTTTATTAATCCGGAGTCGCCACAACGGAATGAACCGCCAACTTATCCAGCAAGTTTTTACGTAGCGGATGCCCTTCCAGCCGCAACCCATCCCTGGCAAACATCCACACACTCAATCACACACACACTCATATACTACGGACAATTTAGCCTACCCGATTCACCTGTACCGCATGTCTTTGGACAGTGGGGGAAACCGGAGCACCCGGAGGAAACCCACGCCAATGCAGGGAGAACATGCAAACTCCACACAGAAACGCTAACTGAGCCGAGGCTCGAACCAGCGACCTTCTTGCGGTGAGGCGACAGCACTACCTACTGTGCCTCTGCTTCGCCCCTGTTGCAAAGTCTTATTTTCTAATTTAATCATTTTTCTTTGTATGTATAGACATGAACACATTTGTTTGTGGAGAAAGTAGCCGTTTATTAGTCCTAGTCATTTTTCCAATAGGCAACTGAAGCTTTAAAACAATAGCATATAAGATCAAGGCCCCATTTCAGAAAGGAGGTTGAGTGAAAACTCAGAGCATTTTAACCCTGAAATGAGAGAAACTCTGGTATTTGCGTTTCAAAATGGCAAGTTTGTGAAATTCGAGAAAGCAGGGTAAGTCAAGCCTGTTTCTGAAAGAAAGGTAACTTGGTAACATACTCTGTGAACCTAACCTGGTCAGCAGGTTTTATTCTCTTAACTCTGTTTTGAGTTTCTGTCGGTCTCCTTTTCTTTTTTTTTTAAATGAAGCAGTATTTCTCACTTAGCCTTACATATTCAGCCACTTATTTTTATGTGCATATTGGATAGGCTATGAGCGTAAAAAAAAAAACAGTTGATGGAAACATCATAATGCACATAACTTTTGAAATATAGGCATAAAAAAACATGCGCTAAATCTTCACCACATGTTCATTGTGTGCTGACATTGTCCTCTGAGGTGAAAGTCATTTATTAAACACAGAAAAGATTCATGTAGCTTCTCCTACCGCAGTAAATTCTGTTTTTACTGTTGAGATTTGGCGCCAGTTAATCAGGAAGTGACGATTTTGTTCTTTTTAAGTCATTAAATGGAAACGCTGATTCATTCATTTATTTTTTTTTGGCTTAGTCCCTTTATTAATTGGGGGTCGTCACAGCAGAATGGACTGTGTACGTTTTGTTCATTTGTTTTCCATTTTTAAACGGAATAAAGGAAAGGAAAAAAATGGCCGTTTTTCCATTTTTCTTTTGCTCACAAGAAAACGAAAAAACGACATTTTGGCTGGATTTTCGTTTTTTGGTTTAAAGTAGGAAAACGGATAAACGACTTTAATATTCATTTTACACATGTAGGCGGTGCTGAAATGCCCACTTTCCTCTAATTGGTCAACTATTATTATTATTATTATTATTATTATAACCTTTATTTTACCAGGAAAGACAAATTGAGATTAAAAATCTCTTTTACAAGAGCGTCCTGGCCAAGATTAGGCAGTACACAAGTCACATGAGTCCAACAGACAACAAACAAAAAACTATTTACATTTAACATGAATCACACTGACAACTATTCAAAACATCTACAAACCTGTTTCAACTTCTAAAACTTTTTAAAAGCTTGTAGTGAAATCAAGTCTTTGAACTGCAACTGTGTTTGCAGATTATTCCAAGCAAAAGGTGCTGCGTACTTAAAAGCCTTTTTTCCCATCTCAGTCCGCACTTTAGGGACAAAGAGTAAATAAATATCCTGTGAGCGAAGACCATAGTTAAGAACAGGCTTTTTACAAATATAATTCTGGAGATATGATGGGAGTAAACCCAGTATAGATTTAAACTAAATCTGAGCTTGTGACGTCGCCCTCAAAATAAAAGCCTTACACGCAGGCTTTTAATTATTATTATTTAATTATATATAAACAAAGTTTACATATTCTATCATTTGAACCACACAAAGTTAGCAGGCTTACATTCATTGCACATGTAAAAATTAAATAAAAATGTAAATTAGCAGTATTCTTACACATTTTGTCATTAAAATAAGGTCATAGTTTACTGCCAAGTTTCTTGCTGCTGTGCACCTGATGCTGAGCAAAGATGGCCATTTCTGAGCAGCACCTGGTTTGTATGATTGTTTCAGAGCAAGGGCTTTATAATAATAATAATAATAACAATATTAATAATAATAATTATTATTATTATCACTTAGTTGTGTTTTTATTGGTAATTTTTTTTTCTTTTTAATAAATGTTAACAGAACAAAAATAAGAACACATTGGGCCCTGCTATAAAAACAGGTTACCATTTGTTTTTGTTTTATTTTTTCCTATTTTAATTATATATTGAAATTATTTCCTTGATAATTAATACTATTTTATTGCAACGCCAAAGTAGGCTTGTCTTATTATTTTTTGTAATTTGCTGTTATTGTTATTGTAGGCTACATGGCATGCTTTGCGAAATTTTTTAAATAATATATACTCATAACCTTACTAATTCGAGAGCCGAACCTAAAAAAGTTTAAGTGCAATAAGCCTGTACAATAAAGTGAGTCGCAATGCATATTTGCATATATGAATGTCTTATCTGCCTAGCTAATCCATTGCAATATTGCATGTTCCACTATTGCACTGTGTTGCCATTTGGCAACACACACATTTGATCGATTTACAAAAAAATTATTTGATAAAAAAAAAAAAAATTGAGTTGTGAATGTCATCATATCTTACTGGAGGTGATGTTTCATGAGGAGGTGATTTTTTTTGTGGATCTAACATAATTTGATACTTTGTTTTTATTGACATATGCATTTGCATTTAGCAACTACTCACAATAAATGCCAGTCTGTCAGAAATCGCGCTACAGAAAAACACTGGATGTCATGTGACTTAACCAAAGCACATCATTGGCTACACAAAGGTATTCTCTTTCAAACAAAAAAAATTATGTTGGTCTTAAAGAAATAGTGGCAGGGAAATGAACATAAGTATCATATTGCCATATGGTTACACCGTGCAGTAGAGGGCTAGTACTTGTGTGTATTTGCATGTCTAAAATATAAAATAAGCATTAGACAGTTAAAACACTGCATAATTGTGATGATATGATGAGCTAACTTGTCATGCTTGTCACGCTGGATAATGAGTAAAACACCAGCACCAGGGACAACAACATGGTCCTCACTTCAAATTGAAACATAAGTAGGAATTTGTAGTGATTTACCCTGATCTCCCTTCCTCCTCATCCCTGTCTTTGAGGCGCTGAACTCATTATCAGTGCGAGAGATAAGTAGAGAGAGACTGTGTTCACTCCTCTCCACGCTGAACTGAAGTGTTTTTTTAAACATTCAAATGTCTCAGTGTCGCGCGACACAACAAATCGATTATGAAATTTGTTGCCAACGCTTTTAGTAACTGATTTTTATTGGTTTTGTTGTTGCAGCCCTACTAAAAACAGTGTTATGTGGTTTAGGCATGGAACGATAACCACTTTTAATGTATAAAACCACCAAGTGGTAGGTTTTTAGGACAACAGTATCTCCAGCAGAAAAGATATCCAAAAATGCCTTTTTAGATGGCATTTCTGCATATTGTCTGGTATATAAATTGTCACCACGTAGGTCTTCAGCAAAGCCTCAGGACATGCACAAAGGCAAGAAAACAAAGGAAAAAGTACAAATGATTGAAAACAAGTAGCAAAGTATGTCATCTTGCCATCTAATCACTTCAGTTTACAGCAAATGTGGCATTAAGCATTTGCATAAGTTCATTCATTTTCCTTCAGCCCAGTACCTTTAATTATCAGCAGTTGCCACAGCGGATTGAACCACCAACTTATCTAGCATATGTTTTAAACAGCGGATGCCCTTCCATCTGCAACCCAGTACTGGGAAGCAATAGCATAATTTAAATACAATAATGAAGCCTCACTAATATAAGCGTGAATTATGCGTACTTGCAAGCAAGTCACAAATGTTTTTAATCGAGTGGAAGATGTACATGAGGGAACACAACACGAGTAATCTAGAGCGAGTGCATTTGATCATTTGCATTTGAAGCCACAGGCACAAAAAAACTTGGTTTTCCTCTGACCCCCAAAATGAAATATTCTGCAAGGTATATGATCTGATTTTGAGCTGAAACCTCAGACACATTCTGGGAACACCAAAGACTTATTTTACATTTTGTTACAAAAAAAAAAGGATTAATTATAGGAACTCTGTAAAGGGATAGTTGACGCCAAAATGAAAATAGCCTCACCGTTTACTCTTTCTCGTGTGGTTTTAAACCTTTATGAGTTTCTTGATTCAGCTGAACATAGAAAAAAAAATATTGTGAAAAACTCTAGTTTTCTTTGTGTTTCAGAAGAAGGGGAATGTTTAAAACTGCAAGATGGAGAGTAAATGGTAATTGATCATTTTCATTTTTGGGTGAAACATCCATTTCATGCTTTGAGCTGTCATTCTTTTCTTTTAAAGACCTGATGGTGCTGAAAGAAGAGACTCATCAACTGAATGTAATGGAAGAGAAACAGCAGTTTGAGAAACACCAAGTAATAACGACTGATGAAAAACCCACACTGACTAAAAAGACTTCATCACGCGGAAGACCTCGGAAATCCAAGTCTATGTGTAATTACAGCTGTACACGGTGTAGAAAGAGTTTCAGTAAAAAGTCAAACCTTGATATTCACATGAGAGTTCACACTAAAGAGAAACCTTACACCTGCAAACAGTGTGGAAAGAGGTTTGGTTATATACAAGGCTTTGAAAACCACATGAGAATTCACACTGGAGAGAGGCCGTACACATGCCAACAGTGTGGAAAAAGCTTCTATCATGCAGGAAATTTTGCAGCGCACCAGAGAATTCACACTGGGGAGAGGAAGTATACATGCCAACATTGTGGAAAAAGCTTCTCTAAAACAGGAAACTTGGCAGTACACATGAGAATTCACACTGGGGAGAAGCCTTACTCTTGCTCTCAGTGTGGAAAGAGTTTTAAGCAAAATGTCACCCTTAAAATCCACATGAGAACTCACAATGAAGAAAGAATTTTTACCTGCACACAGTGTGGGAAAAGTATTTCTCAAAAGCACTACCTTGACATCCACATGAGGATTCACACTGGAGAGAAACCTTACACATGCACAGAGTGTGGTAAAAGTTTCCCATATAAAGGCTCACTCAATCACCACATGATAAGTCACACCGGAGAGAAGCCGTTTACATGTGCTCAGTGTGGAAAGAGCTTCACAACCAAAACTAGCCTCATGAACCACATGGATGGTCACACTGGAACCATAGTGTTCACATGTGATCAGTGTGGAAAGAGTCTCACACGCAAAGACTCTATGAAGCAACACATGAAGACTCACTCAGGAGAGAATCGTTTTAGATGCAGTGAGTGTGGAAAGGGCTTTAAATGTAAAAGAAGTCTTAGCACTCACCTGAAGCTTCACAATGGAGAGCGAAAATGAGGCCTTGTCCAGCGGAGCTTGGGGCTCTCTCCCAGGACAGCATGTCAAACAAGTGTGATGTAACATATTGTAACCTGCATTCTGGAGATAAACATTCCATTTAACATTCCAGAAAACAATCTGGGTGAATCGCCAGGACAATAAAATCACTTGGCGACGAAAAGTCTGGCTTAGTAATCCGTGGTGACATGTTAACAAGTCTGGGAGACTTCACAGAACCACTCTCTGCCTACTTCAAAAGAACATGACAGATAAGATAAGAAAGAAAATGAACTCATCAAATCCAGAACCAGCACAAAACCAATGTGTTATGTTTTGTAAACTTTGTATCTCATTTCTGACTTTTCTTACCTGTGTAACATCTCTTATAACCTGTATGCATGTTCCATTTAGGCCTTTGTAAAGCATAAATATTGTAAGGATATGTAAAATTATGTTGATGTACTTTCAACCCCCCCATGTTTGGTACCGATGGGTTTCTGCTGACATTTTACAACACATGATGCATAGATCGAGACCATAACTCGCATTGCTTTATTCTTTAAAGCCCTGTATTAAATGCCTGTCCGCATGCTTTAGGCGGACGCTCAAATTTGCATACGAGCAGCCCAGAGACAAAGGAAGGTTCGCGCGCAAACTTTCCCCTGAAATCATTGGTCAGAATGCTGTACGGGTCGTCACGTGACCCGCAGGTATAACTCATTCTGCCCTCCCAAACATCCGGCAGAAAGAGAACGTCCTAAGAAGAACATCATTGTCGGTGGCCTTCGGGCCACGCGGCTTTCCTACGCCGCATGGACTTTCCCGCCACGTTTCTTTATTTTCCGGCAAAGTAAATTCAGTTTAAAGTTTGCGATCGTGTTCGTCCGAACTGCATTACAAACTCCACGCATCAAAGGACATCAAGAGTAGTTTTCATCACGACGGAAGAGAGACGCATAAAAGAGACCTCCAGACATGAAAAACCAGGTGATTTTAGTTATGCGATTAAGCTGTGGCCCTTTTATCAAAAAGGTGTTTTTTATAACCTTGGTGGTCCGTAATGGTGCGTGTGGAACTGAAAGTTTTGTCACTTCTTTTATCTGAAATCTCCATTTCCTCGCTTTACTATTTCTCTTTGCTGTTACACGTTCTATAGACCCGATATCTCCGCGTGGTTTACCTTTGTTCTGTGTTAAATGTATGTTTGTGCGTTTGTTTGTTCGTTACGTCTGACTAGTCAATAAATTCCATTATAATCAAATGAATTGTATTGTTTGCCTCACGAGAAAATGTCACTGAAATACAGATTCCCCTGCCTAGCTATTATAAGTTGTTTAAAACTTTTTAATGATTAATCTACTTCACAAGAAGTAGCAATTAAATTCCCTTTTTCTAAATGAATAGATTACAGTGTCCGCTCGGAAGAGCGGCGGCTCTGCTTGTGTTCGTTTGGTCAAATTAACAATAAATTGATCCGGAATATTAATTATTAATAATAATTCGTTATTGTTGATAATTAATATTCATAATCTGGGAATCCGCTCGGTCGCGCGAGCATGATCATCTACAATCATATGTTTGTTTGACCAAACTGACTGAAGCTTAAGCCGGAATATTAATAATTAAGAATAAACCGTTGTTGTTGATTATTAATATTCATAAAATGAGCTAATTTCATGTTACAGTGAACTCTTGAATACATATCAAGTTACTGATAATGAAACCCTTGGAACACCTGAAGATTTAAACTCAATAACTGAAGAGGGGTGAAGATGTACCAGGTTGTGAGAGTTTCTACCAGGCTGCATAAAAAGTTAAATACCTTTATATGTGTTTCAAGTTATTATGAACTGATTATTTTATTTTGTGCAAATTGCACACTTCAAACTAATTTTCGGCTCTGAATATAGAATTAGAAAGATTAGGGAGGAGAAAGTGTTTAGAGAGTTGCAGGGAACACTGTCCTACACTCTTAAGCCTGGTTTATACTTGATTTGTCCGCTTGTTTGCTTGAGTGCATGCAGCAAATGTGATGTCATTGTGGTTTGCGGAGGTTTGCTTTGGGTGCGTGCGGCATAATTTCGGCCGGCGGAGTGTATGTTTTTTTTCTGAGACTCAAGCAAACAGTGCGTGCGGCGACAGATTTTGATTTGAGTTGAATATGAATCACTTTGAAGAGCATCTGAAGACATCTTTATGGGCGAACAGTACGCAATGGTGCCACATTTGAGACTTTGCCTGAAAAGTACACCTGCACATACATCCTTATGATCCATGATCATAGAGATCACCAAATGACCAATAATTCTTGGCTAGAAATTGCAACAGCCGTGGGAAAGAGGACAGTTTTTGTTAAAAAGTTTGGAAAAACCTGAGGGATGTTTGTTAAAGCCAAAGAGGCCATGGCAAAAGTGGAGACCCAGGTACATAATTACCGAATGTGTTTTTTCATTAGTTGTAGGTTTTACACTGATTAATACATTACAGTTTTGAATTTAAAACAATTTAATATCAAAACTATAATTAAGGAACAAATTATTTTTTTGATAACCGGAAAGGAATATTTGACCCTATTGGTTTACAATACACTGATGCCATGTGTTTCTAGGCTTTATTGGTGATCATGGTCAGAAGTGTTGGACCATTTTAGCATAAGTATAGAACAGAAACTAGCCAGACAGTAATGTGTGAATTGTGGAGTGGGCTAAATCTAAAAAAAAAAAAAAAAACATGTATTTTTTAGTAAGTGTACTTTTTTGCTTTTATTTTTGCCATAATAAAATATATTTGTAGAGCAGCCCATGTTCTCTTGTCATTAATATTTTAATAAACTTCAATAGGTAAAACTGTCTGAGATATAAACAAAAGAAAGTGATGCATCAAAGTTTGATTAAAAAAATCTTGAATTATTCTAAAAATGCTTATAATAATTAAAATAACTTATAAAAGCAATAAAAATAATTAGCTTAAAAATCTTGAATGATGGTAATTATATGACGTACTTCCGGAAATTTTGTACTTCTCTGTTTATCCATCTGACTTTACGGTCAGATTCTTTTGACCGCCCCCTGCCGTTTTAAAGAATATCACAACGACAAATGCGGTGGATGTGGTGCCAGGTGAAAGTATAAATCCAGCTTTAGATTGTGTTTTCGATCATTCACATTGTCTGATTTCACTCGTGTGAACAAACACCATTTGCCTCAAGTTTTGGGCTTTTGTCTGCAGTTTCACTAAACTTGTTGGCGAATGAAAGTCCGCCTAAACTTGTGCGGTGTAAACTTGCCATAAGGCAATGTCTGTGAGCAACTGATGCAGACTCCCTAAAGCCCTGTTCAGACTACACAATGCCATTTGCCTGTTAAGACAGATCAGATTTGTGTCAGATTATGAGATTTTGACTTGATCAAATCTTGATGTGTTGTGGGTAACAAATGAAGACTTCAGGTTTCAGAACACTACAAGTTTATTTTGATGGACTGATTTGAGAAAAGAAACAAGTTTTCTTCATGGAAACAGTTACACTTTACATGAGACATGGTTGCCCTAAAATATATGTTCATGTGAAAACTCCCACATTACTACAAATAAAGTGTTGTATGGGAAACCCAGTGTCACTATTGTGAATGAGAACATGAGTAATTTGTTGTAATTCCAGTACTCAACAGACTACTGAAGCACTTCATTTATGAATGAACAATTTTATAAAGCTAAAAAGGTTATTAACTAGGTAATGCTGTGTACAATTTTTCTTTAGTTTTACCAAATTTAACTAGTTTATAGCAAAAAAAAAAAAAAAGGGGGGGGGGGGGGGGTTTACATGGATATTGACATGAGACATTCTGTAATGTACATGAGTATATGCAATTATAGAAAATATGCTCAGTGTTTTCAATATGACTTTCACAAAATTGACAAAAATTATCCTCAGTATCAAATATTAATCTCAGACATTATTTTGATGGATACACATCATTAATCATTTTAAACAGAAGCTCTTTATTTTGGGCAGAATTGAATAAGAAATGTAACTTGTTCTTATTTTTTCTAATTCCTGTGAATTAAAATCTTTAAAAATGAAATGACGTCTGAGCTGATCAGGATGAAGCCTTTGAATAAGAATATTCCTTTAAAACTTATTACATTTTGGATCTCTAAAACATAAAGTGACCAAAAACAGAGATGAAAGAGAAAACATTACAGAATAGTGTGAAAGAATACCTCTGATCAATACTATGATGTTTTTAGGAATAACATTAACAATTGTGTAAAACTCTTTAGAATGACAAAAAAAAAAAAAAATTGTAATTAAGATTGTCACCATGGCTATCCTTCGTATCCAATAAAGAAAAAAAAATCCTAAAATAAAGACTTATTTCGATATAAAATAAAATGATTGTTCCATAAACAAGTTTTATGAGGACTGAAATTGTGAAAAAAATTTAGTCTTAGCACAATAGGACCTGCTGGTGAAAATTTTCTTCACTCCCATCAGGTGAAGTTTTTTTTCCCTCTCCGCTGTCGCCACTGCCGCGCATGGTTCAGGATTGATAGAGCTACGCATCGATGAATTTGCTCTTCAGTATTTGAACTCTCAGTAATGATTAAATCACACTGAACTGAGCTAAACTGAACTGAACTTAAACACTAAAACCTGAACCACACTGTTCCAGTTACTATGACCATTTATGTGAAGCTGAATTGAATTGAATTGAAACAAAGACCAAATTTAAGGTTTATTTGGGCTAGAAGTGGGTTATCATTATTTCACTGCTGTCAGAGTCAGAGATAATTCTATACATTATTATTTTGTGTTGTCTAGAATTCTCATGAAACTCGTGAAATTAAAATTCATGCAAAATATTTTTATAAGATCTTATTTCGCTGATTGATTTCTGTTATTTATTTAAAATAATATTTGCATAATAATAATAGTTTTATAATAATAATAATACTTTTATTTATTTGTAATATAATTATAATTAAAATGACAACTTTGCGAGCCTTGACCAATGCATTTACCAAGCCGCTGTCAGCAAGACTCACTGTGACACTTCTCTGCAGC